CCTTGCCCTTGCCGCCGCCCTTGCCCTGGGCCTTGTTGTCCTTGTCCTTGTCCTTGCCCTTGCCTTTGCCGCCGCCCTTGCCGTCGCCCTTGCCGCCCTTGCCATCGCCCTCACCGTTGTTCGGGTCGTCGCCCTCGCCGTCGCCCTTGCCGTCGCCCTTGCCGTCGCTGATGGGCGGCCTCCACACCCATGTCTCCTCGACGCCGCCCTCGCTCCATGAGAGCGCGATGAGACGGCCTGTCCAGCCGCCCCACGACTGACTCGCGCGCCATCGCTTGAGTTCCGTGAACGTCTTGGCGGGGGGGGGGGGGCCCGCCATCGGGCCAGAATCGGACCAGGATCTGATCGGAGACGAAATGTCTACGCATTGTTTCACGTTGGCTGCAGTCAGCCCGCGTCGCAAGGATGCGCGGTAAGGATGCGCAGCCCCAGGAGGCCCATGGCGTTTTTTCAAGCGAGGCTGACAGGTGAAGTCGCAAAGGATGGGCCGACGGGACAACGATGCAAGGGTAGCCCTGGGAAGGTTGCCCATCCTCACGACGCGGGTTGACTGAAGCAACTGTTGTTTTGCATGGGTGAGGGCCTTTTGGGAGATGGCCCCGCGGGGCCATATTGGGCGTCTCGGAGAAAGAGAGGGAGAGGGAGATGGCCCCGCGGGGCCATACTGGGCGTCTCGGAGAAAGAGGGAGAGGGAGAGGGAGAAAGAGGGAGAGAGAGAGAGAGAGAGAGAGAGAGAGAGAGAGAGAGAGAGAGAGAGAGAGAGAGAGAGAGAGAGAGGAGAGAAAGAGGAGAGAGAGAGAGAGAGAGAGAGAGGAGAGAGAGAGAGAGAGAGAGAGAGAGAGAGAAGAGAGAGAGAGTGAGAGAGAGAGAGAGAGAGAGAGAGAGAGAGAGAGAGAGAGAGAGAGAGAGAGAGGGAGAGAGAGAGAATTAGTCACTGCGTGGAGCTCCCCATATGTGCATCTACTCGCATGGACCTGTCCGCCGTGAATGTCTAGGCGCAAGAGCTTTCGAATATTAACGGGCTTCAGTTGTGACGGTCTGGACATCAATCTAACTGCGAATGAATTGGAGTGTGAATGAGCCTCAGTATAGTACGAGCGCGTCTCTGTGCATGAGCCTGGGGCCTCCTGGGGCCTCCTGAAACCTCTTGGGGCTTCCTGGGGTCTCCAGGAGTCTCTTGGGACCTCCTGGGACCTCCTAGGAAGGTTTCGTGCCCCAGGGGAGGCGCAATCTATAGCAACAGACGCGCATAAAACATTGCGGATTAGAGCCACAGGAAAAGGGCAATATATAGGAACACGCGTAAACCACCAAGGACTCGTGCCCCAGGAGAGGCCAAATACATAGGAACATGAGTAAAACATTTAGGATTGTGCACACAGGAGAAGGACCATCTATAGAAACACACGTAGAACATCAAAGAATCGTGCTCCAGGTGAGGCCCAATCGATAGGAGCATACGTAAAACACATGGGATTGGAGCCACTCCTGTTGCCTTCTGAGGCCTCCTGCTCCTGGGGCCTCTCGGGGCCTCCTGTTGCCGTCCGAGGCCTCCTGGCGCTTCCTGTTGTCTCCTGGGGTCTCCTGTGGTTTCCTGAGGCCTTCTGGAGCTTCCTGGGGCCTCCTGGCGCCTCTTGGGACATCCTGTGGCCTCTTGAGTCTTTCTGTGGCCTCCTGATGCCTCCTGGGACCTCATGTGGTCTCCTGGAGCCTCCTGGAGCCTGTTGGAGCCTCCTGTGGCATCCCGAGAAGAATCTGCGCCCACGAGCCTGGCCACCAAAACTAACAAACCGATCGAGACATCCTCAAAATCTGGCCCACCTGGGGGGTGAAAATGAGCGCCTCGCTCGAGACATCCTCCAAATCTGCTCCGAAAGCGAAGGATGTTGGGCACAGAAACAGGCAAACCGCCTGAGACATCCCCACAAAATGGCCGCGAACGAGCCCGTGCAACCACCCCTGGCGGCTCCCCTTAGGGGTGCTGAAATGAGCGCCTCGCTCGAGACATCCTCCAAATCTGCTCCGAAAGCGAAGGATGTTGGGCACAGAAACAAGCAAACCGCCTGAGACATCCCCACAAAATGGCCGCGAACGAGCCCGTGCAACCACCCCTGGCGGCTCCCCTTAGGGGTGCTGAAATGAGCGCCTCGCTCGAGACATCCTCCAAATCTGCTCCGAAAGCGAAGGATGTTGGGCACAGAAACAGGCAAACCGCCTGAGACATCCCCACAAAATGGCCGCGAACGAGCCCGTGCAACCACCCCTGGGGGCTCCCCTTAGGGGTGCTGAAATGAGCGCCTCGCTCGAGACATCCTCCAAATCTGCTCCAAAAGCGAAGGATGTTGGGCACAGAAACAGGCAAACCGCCTGAGACATCCCCACAAAATGGCCGCGAACGAGCCCGTGCAACCACCCCTGGCGGCTCCCCTTAGGGGTGCTGAAATGAGCGCCCCGCTCGAGACATCCTCCAAATCTGCTCCGAAAGCGAGGGATGTTGGGCACAGAAACAGGCAAACCGCCTGAGACATCCCCACAAAATGGCCGCGAACGAGCCCGTGCAACCACCCCTGGCGGCTCCCATTAGGGGTGCTGAGTGTGAGTAAGTCTGTGTTCGATGTCATTCGCGGGGACCACAGATTCAGTGTGGGAGCACCCATTCAATTCTCATTCATGTCTCATCCATGTCTCGTCGGCGTCGTCGTCGGCGTCGTCGTCGTCGTCGTCGTCGTCGGCGGCGGCGGCGGCACCGGGCGCAAGGTCTCTCCAATCTACAACTCGGAAAAACCTCCTCGGCGGAGGCGACCCCCGGTGGTCGCGGCGTCGCCTCTCCGCCCTCGGGGGGGGGGGGGGCTTTGTTTCGCAAACCGAACGCATGCTGAAAGCTACACATACCGATGGTGAGCAGCCGCGCACCAAACCGTGCTTGAGGACACTCGCGCCGAGGAGAACTATATCCTATCAGCCATGCCGAGAAGGGGCATCGCTGGCCATGATGGGTGTGTTTTCCACCACCACCACCATAGGTTGGAGGGGGAGGGGGTCCTCCTCCTCCTCCTGCTCCTCCTCTTCGTCTTCCTCCTCCTCCTCCTCCTCCTCCTCGTCCTCCTCCTCCCCCCCCTCTAACTTATGGTGGTGGTGGTGGAAAACATGCCCATCAGGCCAGGTTCCCCTGCGCCGAAAAGAAGTTCCCCTGCGCCGAAAGGAGCTACAGTCAAAACGCGCATTAAGGACGGGTGGCAAGGACGCAAGACCCTTGGAGGCCGAAGTTGGGATTCTTTGGCAAGGCAAACGGCTGAGGACGAGCCGCAGAGGCAAGGACATAAGGGCACCCTAGGGGAATGCGCGCGTCCTTACTAGACGCGTTGACTGTACACCTAACAACAATGCGGGGAAAGCAACGCCGACAAGAGCTATACCTATCACCTATCATCTAATCTAGACAGAGGCACTCCCATCACCTATCAGCTGCCGAGGGCATCAGTCGAAGGGCGGCACCTCCTCGCCGAATACTGTCGCCGGGTCCATGGGCGGGGCCTCCGGCTTCTTGACCTCGTCCTCTGCGTGGTAGCGCAGGTCGTCCATCTTCCTGCTGGTCACGGTATCTTTCTTCTCACCCTCGAGCATCACGACCCTCACGTCCTTCCCATTCGAGGCCACGGATTTCACCTTGGCCTTCATGTCCAAGTAGTGATGCGGCTCTTTCGCGCACTTGGCGATGATCACGGTCGCCCCCGGGATAATCTGCCCCGCCGCGGAGGCCGCGGCGGCGGCTGCCGCCGCCGCCGCCGCGGGCGCGGGCGCGGGCGCCGCCTCCGGCTTCTCCGTGGCCCCCGCCGCCGGCTTCTGCGTGGCCCCCGCCGCCGGCTCCTGCTGGACCGCGGGCGCAGGCTCCCCGGCCCCCTTGAGCGCGAGCAGGGCCTTGGCCTCAGCCTCGGACAAACAACCGAGGCAGAGACGACGGAGATGGAGGAGGAAAAATGAATCAGACAAGTAAGGGTTGCCTGCATCTTCTCGTCGCCGAACGCCTTGATGGCAGCCTGCAAGACCGGCGTGTTCACGACCTCCCACAAGCTCCTGTGCTGCTGCGCCTTGGTGGCGATGTCCACGTCTCCCTCGGCGCGCGCCCCTCGTGGACACGCGCCGAGGGACACGTGGATGACGTCCAAGAAGACCTCGGCCACGAACGCGGCCGCCTCCTTCGAGTACGTCGGGCCCAACCACTCGTTCACCTTCCCCCAAGCGACGACCACGTTCCGCACGACCGGGCTCGCGACCGCCTCCACGGCATCGGCATCGACCGTTTGCCCACATGCCTTGGACACCACCTTCGCGTCCACGTCCTTGCACTTCGTGCCCCTGAGCAGCACGCGGAGGCACTTCGACTCATGCTCGGGGAACCACTCCTCGAAGCACTTGAACTGCTTGTCGGCCAGCCGCAGCAGGAAGCCAACGTTCGCAGCCTTGTCATTTCCGAGGACAGTGGACGCCAGCTTGAGCTCCTGCATCCAGTCCGTGCCCCCCACGGCCCCGCCCTTGTTGGCCGCCGCCTCCGTCTCGACGTTCTCCGGGCACGTGGACACGAGCATGCGTGCCGACAACGTCGTCAAGGTCGCCGCCGTTGTCGCTGTCGCTGTCGCCGCCGTCGCCGTCGTCGTCGTCCTCGTTTTCTTCCGTCGTCGTCAGCCGCCCGTCCTTCGTCGTCGTCGTCGTCCCTGTCGTCGTCGTCGCCGTCGTCGTCGTCACTCTCGTCGTCGTCGTCGCCGCCGCCGCCGCCGTCGTCGTCGTGGTCGTCGCCGTCGTCGTAGTCGTCGTCGTCGCCGTCGTCGCCGTCGTCGTCGTCCCTCTCGTCGTCGTCGTCGTCGTCGTCGTCGCCGCCGCCGCCGCCGCCGTCGTCGTCGTCGCCGTCGTCGCCGCCGCCGTCGTCGTCGTCGTCGTCGTCGTCGTCGTCGTCGTCGGGGTGCCAGGTCAGCTCTCTGGCGCGCGGGCGGGAGTTTGTTTTCCTTGGCGAGCGCGAAGAGCGCTTCGAAGCGGGCCTGCTTGAACGACCGGAAGAAAGCGCAGTCTGTCAAGATTGCCGTCTCTCCTGGGCTGAGCTTGAAAGATGCCAAGTCGACCTCCTGGCCCTCAGTGCTGCCGTGTTTCCAACCCGCCGTGAGCGGCACCTTGCAGAGTGCACTGATCGCTTTGACGATCTTGGGAAGCAGGGATCCGTCCAATTTCTCCGCCTCCTCGAAGACTTTGACAAACGCCGGCATGCGCGCCCAGGTGTCGCCCTCCAGCAGCCACTGGACGACGAACTTGAAGAACTCCTTCTCGCGTGGCAAATACGCGGCCGCGCCAGCAGCCCCCCCCTGCCTATCGGCCAACCAGGAAGTAAACATCCGGACTTTGAACAAGGCGTTGTTGCCATCCATTGCGTCGGGGCTCATGTACCGGCCCGCCTTGCAGTCCTCCTTGCACCCCTTGAACAGCGCCGCGGTCCCCTTCCAAAGCTTGCGTATACACATACAGTCGGAGAAGGGGGCTTGCAGACACAGCGACCAGCCGTGGCGACGACAGAAGAAGTGCGAACTCAAAATCGGGCCCCGGGCCCCTCCCAGGTCCAAAACGCACCAATTTTCCGGGCTGCGTCCAGCCGTGGCGACAAGGGCCCCCCCGTGGAGACAAGGGCCCCCGTGTGCATACGTATGCGTATGCACACGTATACGTCTACGTGCACGCGCGCACCACGAGAAGCCTTCTCGTGGTCGGGATCGCTGGGCTGCTGTGGCAGGGGGCGCTGGCGCTTGTCTGCAGCACCGCCCGCGCCGCCCCCTGGGCAAGGGCGCTTGGCCCCTGGGTCGTAGCCGGGCTTGGCGGGCGCGGGCTCGCCGTTCCCCTCCCCCTTCCTCGTCTCCTCCTGCTCGGCTGGCTCCACGGTCGGCGCTGCGGCCCCGCTGGAACGGCTCCCGGAGGCCGTGGCCGCGCCCCCCCCGAGCGCCAGCAGCCCCGCCTGCTCCCCCATGTCTCGGGTCCCCGTGACGCCGATGCGCCTCCGGATGGGCAGGCTGCCCAAAAGGTCGCCCGGCGTCCTTGGGATCGCCTACCCTGGCGGCGGAACCGCCCCCCGCCCCTCTGGCCTCGCAGCCTGCCGCGACCCCCGCCCAGGGGGATCGCGGCAGGCTTCGGGCCCAGCGTTGGGGGTGGGTGGCGGTTTCGACCCCAAGACGGGCGATCCCCGTCTCGAACACCCAGTACGTCTCAGTGTCCACCGCCCCCTTCACTTTCCACTCCGGCACGAGCCTGCGGAGCCGAAAGGTTCCCAGGGGGCCGCCTCGCGCGGGGCGGAGCGGCCCCCTGGGAGCCCCCCAAACCACCCCGGACACCTGGCCGTTCTCAGGCCGCTCCCGAGGAACGCACTATCTCTGTAGAAAGTAATGTGACAGACCCAGGAGAACCACTTCCTCTGAGCAGGCGTGGGTGTCAGATCTGCTTTTGGCTGCAAGTACACCATCTGTTCGTCAGTGACGAACCCAGTCACCTTCTTCGCCCAGTCCTTGAAAGTGGACAGGTTCACGTTAGTCACCCCCAGACCTTCAGCAATGCCGATCATTATCCTCCTCCTCCTCCTCTTCCTCCTCCTCCTTCTGCTCCTCCTCTCCCCCCTCCTCCGTACCCTCCTCCTCCTCCTCCTCCTCCTCCTCCTCCTCCTCCTCCTCCTCCTCGTCTCTCCTCCTCCTCCTCCCTCCTCGTCCCCCTCCTCCTCCTCCTCCTCCTCTCCTCCTCCTCCTCCTCCTCCTCCTCCTCGTCCTCCTCCTCCTCCTTCTCCTCCTCCTCCCCCTCCTCCTCCTCCTCCTCCTCCTCCTCCAGCACGGCCGGAGATGCGAAGGACGGGGCTCGGACTTTTCATCGCAACCACGAGGCGCAAGTTGTTCTCATCGCTGGCATCGACCTGCGGGCACCTCTGCGAGAGTTGCTTCAGTGTCCGCCGGCCCTCCCTCGCTTTCGGGCCCGAAGTGGGCGCGCCGTCCACCGCGGCCTTGATCTCGCCGGCCGGAGGCAAATGCACGGTCGACATGCCACCCACACGCAAGCCAGACTTCAACCCAACCGTCTGCGAAGCCCCTCTCGGGCCCGGCTTGAGCCAGAATGGCACGGTGCCCCAGGAAAGCCTTGGGTGCATCATGCGAGCAAGAAGTCTCCCTCCTCCCATACCAGTGCTTGCACTTACGCTCACCCGCATGGGGGCTTCTGCGCCTGGGAACGGGGGGGGGCCTTCCAAGGCGGCCCAGCCCCACGCGGCACACGGGCGAGCTCAGCTCGCCCGGCACACCCGCCCAAGCGGACCTTCGCGAAGCTAGGCCGCCGTGGAAGACACCTCCCCGTTCCCACGAGCATGCACCGCATATCGTGATTGATGTTTGCGTCGCATGGAACGGCCCGCATATATTGCACCACATATACTGCTTGAACACACTGTTTGGGGCCCACTGTGGTCCCAATCTTTGCCGGAATCCAGGGGGGTATTCCGTGACACCAAAGGGGGGGGGTATTCCGTGACACCAGGAGCTGTGGGAAGCGAAATCCGGCGGGGCATTTCGAAGCAAATCCTCTTCTCGACTCCATTCGTCTCCATGCATTTCTCTCGCTTCTGTTTCTCCCTCTTCCGTACTCTTCTGTGCCCGAGCTGGGCGTTCGGTCGACTTCTGGTCGTGGAGCCGAGATCGCAGCAACAGGTGTTTAAATACCGGGAGCTCCAGCCTGACCGCACCATCCAAAGCATCTCTGCCAGGCCTTGCCTGACAGATACTGATCACGATAGCATCGGCGACGCACCTGTCCTCCTCCTCCCCCCCCTTTCCTCCTCCTCCCCCTCCTCCTCCTCACCCTTCGGCCTGTTCCACGGGCCTGGGGTCTTCCAAGGCGGCCCAGCCCCCCGCGGCACACGGGCGAGCTCAGCTCGCCCGGCACACCCGCCCAAGCGGACCTTCGCGAAGCTAGGCCGCCGTGGAAGACACCCCCCCGTTCCCACGAGCATGCACCGCATATCGTGATTGATAAGTTTGCGTCGCATGGAACGGCCCGCATATATTGCACCACATATACTGCTTGAACACACTGTTTGGGGCCCACTGTGGTCCCAATGTTTGCCGGAATCCAGGGGGGCATTCCGTGACACCAGAGGGGGGGGTATTCCGTGACACCAGGAGCTGTGGGAAGCGAAATCCGGCGGGGCATTTTGAAGCAAATCCTCTTCTCGATCCCAGTCGTCTCCATGCATTTCTCTCGCTTCTGTCTCTCCCTCTTCCGTACTCTTCTGTGCCCGAGCTGGGCGTTCGGTCGACTTCTGGTCGTGGGGCCGAGATCGCAGCAACAGGTGTTTAAATACCGGGAGCTCCAGCCTGACCGCACCATCCAAAGCATCTCTGCCAGGCCTTTCCTGACAGATACTGATCACGATAGCATGGGCGACGCCCCTGTCCTCCTCCTCCCCCCCTTTCCTCCTCCCCCCCCTCCCCCTCCTCACCCTTCGGCCTGTTCGACGGGCCTGGGGTCTTCCAAGGCGGCCCAGCCCCCCGCGGCACACGGGCGAGCTCAGCTCGCCCGGCACACCCGCCCAAGCGGACCTTCGCGAAGCTAGGCCGCCGTGGAAGACACCCCCCCGTTCCTCCTCCTCCTCCCCCTCCTCCTCCTCCCCCTTCGGCCTGTTCGACGGGCCTGCCCGCGGGCCCGGCCGGCTCGCCTGCGCTACTTGGAGGCGGGGAGGAGGATTGTTTTTCCTAGTCTTGAACCAGGGATACATTCCCCAAGCGCTTGCACTTAGGTGCTCTGATTTCTCTCACCCGCATGGGGGCCTCTGCGCCTGGGAACGGGGGGGGGGGTCTTCCAAGGCGGCCCAGCCCCCCGCGGCACACAGGCGAGCTCAGCTCGCCCGGCACACCCGCCCAAGCGGACCTTCGCGAAGCTAGGCCGCCGTGGAAGACACCCCCCCGTTCCTCCTCCTCCCCCTCCTCCTCCTCCCCCTTCGGCCTGTTCGACGGCCGTCCGACGGGCGTTCGACGGCCGTTCGACGGGCGTTTGACGGCCGTTCGACGGGCGTTCGACGAGAATTCGACGAGAATGGACGTGCGTTCGACGAGAATGCGACGAGAATGGCTCGGAATAGCAAGAATCGCCGCATAATAATAAGAATAGCATTCATGCGCCATTAATGTATTATCAGTGTCGCATGTGTGTCTCGTGGTCCTCCGTATCCTCCTGCTCTTGCTGCTGCTGCTGCTGCTCCTCCCCCTCCTTCTACTCCTCCTCTCCTTCATCTCTGACGATGGTGACAACATTACGAACGCTTTATGTGCTCACAAAGCCTGCGGGCACCAATCCCGGATCCTACTGTCTGCCTTGGGGTGCCCGGTGGCTGGGCCGGGGAGAGCGGCCACTTCCCGTGTTAGCGCCTCAATCTCAGCCGCCACCCACGCCTTCCGGAGCGGCGTGGCCGCAGCAAATCCATCGACCTGGAAGCGAAAGATCATCCAAGCCCGAAGTACGAGCTCGGTCCTCTGCCTCTCGCGGCCGTCAGATCCGCGGTGGCTGATGGTGGCTGTCTTGTGCCTTTGGTGGGCTTTCCCCATGTCCTCGGGCCCTGTCCACCGGGGGAGGACGCTGATCTTCATGTCAGGCCACATCGGGTTATGCTTGCACGAGAAATAACCATTATTCCAGAGAACGTACGTCCCTGGGGGCGCCCGATCAGCCCCGTCTTCGTCGTCCCCTCCGCCTGCCTCCGCGACAGCGTCGTCTGGTTCTTCGCCGTCGCCACCCTCGCCCTCCTCCGCCTCCTCGGCGGCCGAGTCCTCCATATCCGACAGTACCTCTTTCTCGTCCTCGGGCGGGAAGCCGGCGTCGTCCTGGTCCCCTGTCAGCTCCGGAGCCTCATCGGCGGCCTTCGCGAGCAAAGGGTTCACGCGGACCTGCTCCTGCGGCGGCGGCAAGCACCGCAGGCGAAGCCCCCCCATGCCACATGTCGTCTCCACGGAGAATGTGAACACGCGGACGGCCTCTTCCCGACGGAGTCCCTGGTGCCTGGCCTCGAGCTCCTCGTGCGTCAAGAAAGACCGCCTGAAATCAGTGTTGTAGCTCAGAAAGTAGCGGTTGGACCCCACGGGGTCGTTGTGTAAGAGCAGGTAACGGCCCTCGCCATTCAGAACAGCAAAGAACACCACCACTCTCTCACCAGGTCCATTCCCCCACAGGATGGACGCGTAGCCGGACCGTAAATGACTAATCTTGCGCTCCCATACCGGGGCGTCGCGGCACCTAGTGGGTTGCACGCGCGGCCACGCAGACGGTGGCAAAGCACTCAAGGACGGCCGGGGCACCAAGCGGGCGCTCAATTCGCGCCTGGCGGCGCGAATGGCCTTGTACATGTCTGAGAAGACGACCTCGTTGGATTCGAGCCACTGCAGCCAGTCGCTCTGCGTTGTCGGAAGCACGCTCTCTTTGGCAAGCGCCATCAACCGACGGGCCTCCGCATGCGCAGCGTCGACCTGGGCCCGCAATTCCCCACGGTGCTGCTCCACGAGATTCTTCAGGGCATCCTGGTCGCCCTCGTGAACCAGATCGCGGCTGGTGGCTGCCTCCGCCCCCACTGCGCCGAAGCGCACGCCTCGCGGGCGCGGCACCAAGTGTGGCCACCGAGCCCTCGCAAAGCTCCACAAGTTCTGCTTGCGAAGCTGGTCTGCGCGTCTCTGGGGGCCCAGTCTCACGGGGAGGAACTGCTCTCGGCGAACGTGGTATTGGTGCAACAGTTGGTTCCGAGATGCAGTCGCTAAGGTGCGGGCTTTCTGGTTCTCTGGAGCTGTGTCCTGATGGTGTTTCCTCTCGGCCTCCAGCGACGTCACGAGCGTGGCCTCGAGGACGTGGTCAATCTCCGCCTGCGCCTCGCTGCTCTCCAAATAAGCCGTCGCGTCCGCGAAGCCTCCCTTGGACAGCGCGCGGGCTTGCAGACCCAGCGTGAAGCCCGCGTCCAGGGAAGCGGGCTCCTCGGCGAGGAGCGCTCTGCAGCCAGTGGGGTAGCCTTGCCAGGGAATGCCCGCGCCAGGAGGCACAAGCAGAAACCATACTCAGAATCCTGAAAGCCAGACGTCCAGAGACGCTCAGGAACGCGGGAGGACGTCCGGAAACCTCCGGATTCCTCTGGACAGACGACGACCACGACCACGACCACGACCACGACGACAACGAGGTTCGACCCCTGCTTGCCGAGAGGGTTGCGCGCGCGGGAAGCCTCCCACAGCTTGCCGGGGTACCCTGCGTACTTCTCGAAACGGACAACCAGGTGTGACTGGACAACGAACAGGGCGCTCGCGCAGGCCCCGACGTGGAGCTTATCATCGACGGGCAACAGCGGGAGAAGTCTCTGCAGGTGTGCGTTGGTCTGCTGTTGAACGTGTCCTTGCGCCAATCTGACCAACAAGGGCCTCTTGTCGTTCTCTCGAAGCTTTGTCTGGGCAGTAATCCTGACGGCATGGTCGGTGAGCTGAAGGCAGAGGCTAGCTCTCCGCAGGTCTGGTCCAGTTGCAGGTGCAGCGAAGAAGTCTTTCAACAACTTGCAGCGTTTCGAATTCTCTTGGGCCGGTCGAAGTCTGGCAAGAGTGAAGAGAGGCTCTGCGATGCACAGCATGTCCATCAAAAGGAGAGACCACACGCAGGGCGCGAAGCTTCGGACCCCCACACAGGAGTGGCCAAGCCTTAAGCGACGGTTCTCTTCGATGGCAAATCCCCCTCCCGTCGGGATCCGTAGAATGAAGACGATCACAAAATGCTGCTTCTCTTTGAAAACCAAAGTTCAGCGTGGCCAACGCCTGGGCCGAAAGGGCGAGATCAACAGAGGGCGGAGGGGCAAGAGGGGGCGGGCGGGGGCGCCTCGAGCCCCCCGCCGTCTTACACCGCGCGGCGCGGGATCGCGCCAGCGAGTGCGATAAAGGGAATCTCGTGGTGATGGGCTTGGACTGCAATTTCAAGACCATCGGCATCAACACCTTGAGGAGATCGCCGCATACAGATGCCCGGCACGTCCCTGCAGGACAGCAGTGCTCGAGGCGCGTGCAATCTCTGTTGAGAATGTTGAGGAGGCTGTCAGGGAGCACGCCGGGGCCGTACAGCTCTTGAAGCTTCAAAGAACGA